GAGCCGAGGTCGTGCCACTGCGCTCCAGCCTGGGCAACAAGAGCAAAACTCCATCTCAAAAAAAAAAAAAAAAATTAGCCGAGTGTGGTGGTGGGCACGTCTAATCCCAGCTACTTGGGAGGCTGAGGCAGGAGAATCACTTGAACCTGGGAGGCAGAGGCTGCAGTGGGCTGAGATCATGCCAGTGCACTCCAGCCTGGGTGACAGAGCAAGACTCCGTCTAAAAAACAAAAAAGAAAAGGAAAAAAAGAAAAAAAGAAAAAACAGAAAGAAAGAAAAGAAAACCAGAGTGTGATACCATGTCGTATCTGTTAGGATGGCGATCATCAAAGTCCCATAACAAGTGTTGGCAAGGATGTGAATAGTTGAAACCCTCCTAACATTGCTGGTAGGAACGTAAAGTAGTGCAGTTACTTTGAAAAATAGGCAGTTTGACCGGGCACAGTGGCTCACACCTGTAATCCCAGCACTTTGGGAGGCCGAGGTATGTGGATCACCTGAGGTCAGGTGTTTGAGACCAGCCTGGCCAATGTGGTGAAACCCTGTCTCTACTAAAAGTACAAAAATTAGCCAGGCAGGGTGGCATGTGCCTGTAATCCCAGCTACTGGGGGACTGAGGCAGGAGAATCACTTGAACCTGGGAGGCAGGGGCTGCAGCGAGCCGAGATCATGCCACTGCATTCCAGTCTGGGCAACAGAGCAAGACTCTGTCTCAAAAAAAAAATGTGTCATGGCCATGCAACAGAATATTACTTGGTAATGAAAAGGGAAGGAAGCACTGCTACAGGCTACAACATGGATGAACCTTGAGGAAGTTATGCTAAGGAAACGAAGCCAGTCACAAGAGACCACATATGGCTTGATTCTATCACTATAAAAGGTCTAGAATAGACAAATCTATGGACAGAAAGTAGAATTGCCTGGTCTGGGCAGGATGGGTATTGGGGAACTGGGGAGTACAGTACTCTGTGAATACCCTAGAAACCACTACAGCTTCTATGGTTAAATTATATGGTATGTGAATTATATCTCAGTAAAACTGGAAGAAAAAAAAGAGGACAGAGCGCGGAAGCCTGAAGTGTTTCCCCCGACCCGCCCATGGCGACACGTCCCAGGTTGAGTTGTGGAAGTGTAGGGGTGGGGGAAATGTTGGAGGCAAGACAAGGGGTGTGGCCTGGAAGGCAGTATCAGGGTGCTGGGCTGAGTTGGCAGGAGGGCAGGGGTGAGGGGATGCGACGGTTCAGGGCTGCGGTGGCCTTCGGGTTGCAGGTGATATGCGGGGTGTTGATGTGCGGGGTGTTCGGGAAGCGCAGGTGAGGATGCAGGGGATGAGAGGATACCCCGCTTCTAGGGGACTCGGGGACACGGGGACACTGGAACGTGGGCTCGGGCCTCCAGGGCGGGGGAACACGGGCTCCGTTGCCAGGGAGCGCGGAGAGCTGGGACTGGGCTTTTCTCCGGTAGAGTTCGCTAACCCTGGGCGGTCCGGGGCTGCGCGTGCAGGAACGGCTCCCTACCCCAGGAGCGGCCCCAGTTCCCGGGACGTGACCTGCGCAGCC